GGTCTACAAAGAGTTCCAGGGCTGCCAGGGCTCAGAACTGCTTCAATAAACAAACAAATAAATGTTTTCCTCCTCCTCCTCCCGTCCGCTTCAGCTGGTTGCACAATCCATTGTTTTGTAAATGTATCACTCAACAACCCGACTTAGCCTCACACCAAGAGTTTCCTGAGGTAGGCGGTGACACCTACAGGAGCTCACAAAAAGGCTGGAAATAAATGGCCCAACGGTTAAGAACGTGTATTGTTCTGGCAGAGGACTTGGGGACTTAAGTACCCGCATCAGATAGCTCACTGCGGTTTTTAATTCCAGTTTCAGGAGATACCTCTAAATCAGGCACATAAACACGTCAATTAATAACAACAAAAGATAGGACTGGCCCTGAAGTCCGGAGTTCCCTCCCGCGGGCCCACGTGAAAGGAAAGAACTCCCACAGGTGCTCCTCCGACCGCCACAAGCAAATAAATAAAATGAAAAAAGAAAGAAAATGCAATGCATTAATGACACTGGTGAGCTATCGCGTGGGAAACAGCGAGCTCAAGGCCAGTCCCGGCTACACAGACCGAACCAAATTAACAGGCGCTGACCCTGAGGCTAAAGCCAGGGAAGACAGCGCCGGTCCGCCCGCGTTCGGACCTCCCGCCGCCCGCCCGCCCGCCCGCTGGCTGGCTCACAACTCAGCCCGCGGCACGTCCTCCGCTCCGCCGTCCTCCTCCAGCAGCAGCAGGTCCAGCTCGTCCAGCGGCTCCATCACTACAGAGCCCACCAGGAGTGGCGGCTGCGGACGGCGACCCCGGCGGCTGAAACTCGCAGCGCCAGAGACGCGCCAGTGCGGTGCGCATGCGCAGGAGAGGCCCCCGCGCCTAGGGGCTCCCGCGCTCTCAACTCCGGGAAGCACCGCGCAGGACCGGAGACGCTTTCCCGCCTTCCCGCCTGCGGGGTGAGTGGTTCTGCCGGGTCCCCACACCCACGCTCGCCATACGCTCCGTGTTTCAGATCTGAGACAGCGACTCAAGAATTCCAGGCTGCCCTGGAACTCACAGCATTGCCCCGTCTCCCGCTTTCAATTGCAGTGATCACGGTGCCCAGTTTAAGAAGTCATTTGAAACTGTCACATCAATCTCCTGCCTCGGTCTTTTGAGTGCAGCGATCACCAGGCCCCCTCTACGTTTTAGAGAAGACAAGATGGTTCAGGTGGTAAAGAGGATTGTGACTAGGGCTGCCGACCTCAGTTTTCTGGAACCCACAGGGTGGTGGGAGAATCAACCCTGGCAGGTTGTCCTCTGGAGTTCCACGTGTGATCGAAAGTGAGAACACACACACGCACCCCTGCAGAGATGAGATGGCTCGGTAGTTTAAAAAAGTATCTGCTGCACGCTGGGCGGTGGTGGCGCACACCTTTAATCCCAGCACTCAGAAGGCAGAGGCAGGCGGATCTCTGTGAGTTCGGGACCAGCCTGGGTTAAAAGAGCTATTTCCAGGGCAGGCTCCAAAGCAACAGAGAAACCCTGGGAGGAAGGGGAGTATCTGTTGCTCTTATAGAGGGCTCTCTGGTTGAGCTTTCAGTACACCTGGCTGCTTCCCACTCGCTATAATCCCAGTTCCAGAGGACTCCTCTGGTCTCAGAAGGCACACTCATGCACATAGCACACAGACATATTCACAGGGGTACGTACACAAAATAAATCTTTTAAAAAGGTAAGTCGAGGGAGGGCGTTGGGAGGAGGGGCGTAAATGGAAACTCTTTATATTATAATTTAATAAAATTACTTTCAAAAAAAAAAAAGTAAGTCGAAAAATTTCCTTTAAAAGAAACCATTTCATAAATTTAGCATTCTTCCATTCTGATTTCTGAGCATGTGTGCAAGGGTGGGGAGACCAGTGGCTCGAATCTCAGAGAAGAACCTATTGCTCGTCACTTTATGAGACAGGCCTGTGTCTAAACCTGGCTATTGTGTGGGAGCTAGGAACCTGAAAGTAGGTTACATGTTTGTCACTGAACCATCTCCATAGCCCTCTCATTCTGATATTTTATATCTAACATTTTTTCCTTCAAAAATGCAGATATTTAAAGCTGGGCAGAGGTGGTGCATACCTTCAACCCCACCACTCGGGAGGCAGAGGCAGGTGGATCTCTGCGCTCGAGGCCAGCCTGGTCTACATAATGAGTTTCAGAACAGACAGGGCAACACAGAGAAACTCTGTGTTTAGGTGGAAGCTCCACCTCGGGTCTCTCTCTCCAGAGCCAGGTTCAACTAAGACCAGCCCCAGACCTGCCACATGACTTCTCTCATGCCTCCCCCAAGAGGGGAGTTACTTGCTCTGTTTATTAAACCTGGTTTTATTAATTCGGCTGGATTTGGCTTATTGCATTGACAGATAAATCCACAACTGGGAATTGAAAAATACTTCTCATTCTGTCTCAAAAAAAAAAAAAAAATTAAGGCTGGGCAGTGGTGGCTCATGCCTTTAATCCCAGCACTCAGGAGGCAGAAGCAAGAGGGCCTCTGTGAGTTCGAGGTCAGCCTGGTCTACAAAGTGAGTCCCAGGACAGCAAGGACTATTACACAGAAAAACCCTGTCTCGAAAAATCATAAATAAATAAAAAATAAATATGCAAACATTTTTAAAAGATAATAATAATGCTGCAAACATTTAAAAAGAAAGATATTGCCTGATGTGGTGGCACATATTTATAACCCCAACACAGGAGAAGCAGAAGCAGGAATCTTGTGAGTTTCAGGCCAGCTTGGGTTACATAAAGAAACTGCTTCAAAAATAAATAAGGAGCTGGAGAGAGATGGTTCAGTAGTTAAGAGCACTGGTTGCTCTCTGAGGACTCCAGTTCAATTCCCAGCACCCATATGACGTTCCTAAGAATCTGTAACTCCAGTTCCAGGGGATCCAATATCCTATTTTGGGCCTCCTTGGGTATACCACACATGTCTGTAGGGCACAGACATACATGCTAACAAAACACTCATACATATAATAATATTAAATAAGTAAGAAAAATAAAACCAACTAAATAGGGCTGGCTGGGTATCCAGTTCAGTGGTAGTGTTTTCGTAACGTGCAAAGGCTTCAGGTTGATCTCAGGCTCCATAGATGATAAATAAACAAAAGATGCAATCAAAATAGGGATAAAAAATTACTTTTAATATCTTATGGATTTTATAACAGACATAGAATACAATTTCTTATTTTAAAAAATATTTTCAGTTCTCTTTTATTGATAATATAACTGAGATATTTATTTTATAGGTTTAAATTACCTTAAGATTGAATGGAATAATTAGCTACAGTGTGGTCCAGAAATGAAAATATACAAAAGAGCTTTATAAACAGATGGATCCCACTCCTGGTACACTTAAAAGTCACAAAGTACATGTTTATTTTTAAAGTAAAGATTATAAAAATGAAACTAATTTATCTAAATTTTACTAAGCTATGACAAGAAATCTTTACATGAAAAAATACAGAAGTAACATTAGCAGCTTAGATTTAATGTCTTAAAACTCACAGCAATTCTACAAATCTCTACCTCTAAAGATGGGCAGTCTATCGCTTCTACGCCATGGTCATGCTTACAACAAAAGAGAAAAAGTGCTCTAAACACAATGATCAGAATTCTGGCATTCTAAACAACTTTCTTTAAAATGTTATGATCAAAGCATGTTTTATATTTACACTTAGGAGTATAACACACTAAGCTTACTTTACATGGAAGAACTTGTTGTCTTGACATAATATCTTGGAAACATTATTTCAGCTATATTCATGGTCCACTTAAATTTTCTAGTACATCAAGTGATTTGAGACAAACATCTACAATGCTACTCTCCTTTTAGGAGCAGAGATATTTAATTATCATCATTCCTGCCTTTGGGAGAGAACAGTGGCTTTTAAAACTCACGAAAACCAATGTACCCGGTATTAGCATTGGAACAAAGACTGATTAAGTCTCTCTTTTTTGAAACAACACTAACTTTATTGAGAAATGAAGAGGACCTGAGGATGTAGCTCAGTGGGAGGTCCACACTTGTCTGGCACGTACAAGGTCCTAAAGTCATCCCCAAAGAGAGGAAAATATAAATAAAGAAAAATGTTTCAAGACGATGGAGGGAAAGGAGCAGAATTAGAGAAAAAACATAACCAGAGCACTACTTTGTTGCTGGCTATGTTTCATAGAACTTAAATATTCAATTCTTATTCCACTAAAATAAAACTAAGCCTGCTGGTTTTAATAACACTATACAATGTCAGAATGCTGGAGGTGTGGTTCAGAGGTAGAGCGCTCATCTAGCAAGACAGGCGAGAGACCCTGAGGTTACTCCCTCCCCAGCACAAGGAAAGGGAGGACAGAGCGGGTGTGGGGGATAAAAACAAGCAGTGTTAGAGGGCTGCAGCTGTAGGCCATTGGTAGTGTGCGGTTAGCATGCATGAGTTTGACCCAGCACCTCACTAAAACAAGAAAAGGGGCGCTGGGCGGTGGTGGCGCAAGCCTTTAATCCCAGCACTCAGGAAGCAGAGGCAAGTGGATATCTGTGAGTTCGAGGCCAGCCTGATCTACAAGAGCTAGTTCCAGGACAGGCTCGAAAGCTACAGAGAAATCCTGTCTCGAAAGAAAAGAAAGGAAGGAAGGAAGAAACAAACAAACAAACAAACAGCCAGGGATGTAGCTCAGTGGTATGGTGTTTGCCTGCATGTGCAAGGCCCTGGCCTCAATTCCCCCAGCACTGGGGGAAAAAAGACAATCATAATTACAGGCTGGGGAATGTGGCTTTGTGGGTACAACATGTGCTTAGCATGCAGAAGGCCCTGGGTTCGATTCCAGTCCCTCCCCACATCAATAACCATGGTTACAATTAAAGTTTGGGACAGTGTGGTAAGACTAATGGCAACCTCTTGAACTCCAATATGAACCTCCCTCTCCTTCCAAACAGAACTTTAAAATAAACAACAGGTCACCACTGTCAGCACGAGATGGTTTTTCAGCGTTCTAAGGTATAATGTCTGGCATTAAAAAGTACATTAGAGCAGGCATGGTGGCACATGCCTGGAATCTCATACTTGGGAGGCAGAGGCAAGAGGATTGCCGTGAGATTGAGGTCAACCTGGTCTCCACCGTGAGTTCCAAGCCAGCCAAGAGTTACATGTCTAGATCCCATCAAAGGGAAAACAAAAAATTCTGCTAAACACTTTTGATCCATGACTTAAAAACATACAGAAATCAAGTATTAAAATCCCAGTGGTTCCTGTGACAAGGCAAACATCCCCTTCAAGTAACATTTTCCTCACAATTAAGGTAACATATATATATTTCCTCTAAGGATTTACAGAGGAAAACCATCACAAATCATAATTTTTTTCTTTTAGTTAAGGTGGAAAAATTGTTTCATAATTTCATACGTCGTGAAAGCCACAGCTTGAGAGGGAATGCAGCGGATGTAGTTCAGAGATAAGCCGCGATACAGTCCTTTCCTAATCCCATGGTGTCCGTAGACATACTTCATGGTCTCCCGCATGGTACTGAAAGACAGTGGGAAAATGATGCAGCAACTATTCATGAGGCAGCAAGACAACCTCAGAACCAGAAGAGCTTTGTTTATTGTTGGTTGGTTGGTTGGTTTCTTCAGACAGAATCTTGTTCTATAGCCTGGGCTGGCTTTGAACTGTAATCTTTTGCATCCCAAATGGCAGAGGTGACCCTAGCACTTTGAAAGCTAAACAGGAGTTTCAGGCCAATCTGAGCTTCAGAGAGACTCTGTCTCATAGAAAACAATAACCATTTACATATAGATACAGACATACAAATGAATGAGTCCAGGTAGTGCACACCTTAGTGCACACTGAGCTTAGCACTTGGGAGACGGAGACAGGAAGACCCGCAGTTCCACGCTAGCCTTTGCTACATCAGAAGTTTGAGACCCGGCCTAGAGAGTTGAATCAAAGGTAAAGAGAACTACTTACTTTTCCAGAAGACCCAGTTTCAATTCCCAGCACCCACATGGTGTTCCACAACTATCTGTAACTCCAGTTCCAATAGATCCAATACCCTCTTCTGACCTCAGCAAGCACCAGGAATAGACATGGTGCATAAACATATATACAGCAAAACACTCGTACACATAAAATAATAAAAGAGATAATTAAAAAAAAAAGTGGCCTGAGCACATAAGAATTTGTCTAAGGTGCCGTCTGTAATAGCTCTGGAAAACAAGGGTTACACGTACTAACAAATCACAATGAAAAATCAAATCACTCCAAAAAAGGGCAAGCATCCTGTGGCTACTTCCAGGCTGCTCTCTGGGCCACATCTGTGATGTTAGCTGACAGCCTAGCCCTTCATCACACCATGGAGGCACAGGCTGGATGAGCGTCCACTCTTTAAGCTTTCGTTAACAGTGCAGTGTTTGCTTGGCAACAGCTTGAGGGGATGCTACCGGGAGATGAGGGAACTCTTCCCAGGTGGGGCCTCACAGGAGGCAGCTGGGGAAGACTAGAGGACCCTACCCCTTCTTTGCCCATAGAGTGGGTCGTGTTTCTTTGAGACAAGGTCTTGTGTAGCCCTGACTAGCCTGGAATTAGCAATGTAGATCAGGTTTCAAAGCAATCCTCCCCACTCTGCCTCCCAAATGCCAAGAGGACAAGAGGAGACCACCCTGCTCAACCTGCAGCACAAGCTCTAGCTATGATGTGCTGCTTTGCCCCAAGTCAAACAAACAAGGAGGTTGGTTCATGAGCTGAAATCATGAGTCAAACACTTCTCTCCCCACCCCCTTTCTGTAGCCCTGGCTGGTCTTGAACTCACAGAGGTCAGCCTACCTCTGCCTCCTGAGTGCTGGGATTAAAGACAGGCTCCACCACAGCCTAACTTGTCTCTTTTTTTTTTTTAAATATTTATTTATTATGTATACAATATTCTGTCTGTGTGTATGCCTGCAGGCCGGAAGAGGGCACCAGACCTCAATACAGATGGTTGTGAGCCACCATGTGGTTGCTGGGAATTGAACTCAGGACCTTTGGAAGAGCAGGCAATGCTCTTAACTGCTGAGCCATCTCTCCAGCCCCTAACTTGTCTCTTAATTAACTGATTGTGTCAGGTATTTGTCATGGGACAGAACCTGGATGGTGCAAACCTGACAACTTGCTGTGTAGCAGCAGCAGCCACTAACCATAGGCAACCACTGGAAACATGGCAATCCAAACAGACGAACCAAGCACAAAATATACCCTCGGTTTCAAAATCTAGTATAAAAAGGCAAAACATTTTTATGCCATAATATTTTAGGAATAATTAAGCTAAGCAGAAAAATATAAATCTTATCTGTTTCATGCTATACTTTTTAAAATGTGAGTACCAGAAAATTTTATTTTTTTAATATTTTTATGGTTTATTTAACTTTATTTTATGTGCATTGGTGTGAAGGTGTCAGATCCCCTGCAACTGGATCTTCAGACAGTTGTGAGCTGCCATGTGGGTTCTGAGAATTGAACCCGGGTCCTTTGGAAGAGCAGTCAGTGCTCTTAACCACTGAGCCATCTCTCCAGCCCCCAAATTTTATTTTTTTTTTATTTTTTATTTTTTTGGCAGGAGTCTCAGTAAGTAGCCCTGACTGTCCTGCAGAGTCACTACGTAGATCAGGCTGGCCTTGAACTCACAGAGATCTTCCTGCTTCTGCCTCCCAAGTGCTGGTATTAAAGTCCTGCAGAGAAACTTAAAAGGCAGAGAAATTTAAATTACACATATAGCTCACTTTCTACTCTGTGTAAATGAAGCTTCTAAAATAGGTTTTAGAGCTGGGCACAGGACAGACACTGGGATCCCAGCCCTGGGCATCTGAGAGCATCACAAGCTGAGGTCAGCCTGGGCTCCATGTTCATGCTACAGTTTGAGACAAACCAAGAACAAAATTGCTTTGTTTTGATGTTGTGTTTGGGGGAACTGAACCTAGAGCCTTTCATGCGGCAGGCAAGTGCTCTACCAGTGCATCACAGCTCAGCACAGGAGGGGACTTTTAATAAGAGGACGGGGACACGGCTGACACTTTATGAAGTTATTATTGTGTCCTGTGGGGATAAAGGAGAAGAAATGACTGCTGGAGAGACAAGGGTCCTCTCTTTCTCCTGACTTTCAACATCACTCTTCCTCAGCAGAGGGTAGTCCATGCCTGTCACTGCTGCACGCAGCAGGCTAAGGCAGGAGGATGGTGCAAGGTCACGGCCAGACTTGCACTGTATAGTGTGATCCTGTCTCAAATACCAACCGACCAAGAAGCCAAGTCAGAGGCTCACATTCTCACTGCAGGCACTTAAAACTAAAGAAAGGAGATCACAAGTTCAAGGTCAGCCACGTGGAATACAAAGTTGGAAGCCAATCAGAGCCACCTGAGATTCTGTCTTTCAAAAGTAGAAATTAAGGGGTTGGAGGGATGGCTCAGTGGCTAAGAGAGCTGACTGCTCTTCCAGAGGACCTATGTTCAATTCCCAGCAACCACATAGTCTATAACCACACTGTCTATAATCCCAGTTTCAGAAAGCCCAACACCCATAGCAAAATACCAAGGAACATAAAATAGAAATAATTTAAAAAAAAAAAGTAGAAATTAAACCAGGTGGTAGTGGAGCACTCCTTTAATGCCAGCACTAGGGAGGCAGAAGCAGGTCTCTGAGTTGGAGGCCAGCCTGGTCTATAGAGCTAGTTTCAGTATGGCCAAGGCTACACTAAGAAACCCCATGTGGAAACAACAACAACAACAACAACAAAAAGACAGAAACGTTTGAGGAAACAATACATTTCTAAAGATTAGGAACACTTACAGGCACTTTTCAAACTCCGGTAGGACTGCCCCTAACTGCATTCTCCGACGGGTCACATCAAATGGGTAGCTAAAGAAACAGAAGAATTAAAGACTTCAAATTACCTTTCATTTCCTATTTGACAACGGTCAAAATCAAAGTCCCACATCCACTGGCCACTCCTCTTGCGGGATATTTGTTCGTTCTGCATGAAGATGTGTCTATGGTTTGCTTCACCTGCCTAAGGCACCTGATTAGTTAATAAAGAGCTGAATGGCCAATAGCTAGGCAGAAGAGAATAGACGGGGCTTCTGGGCAGAGGGAGAAACTCAGGGCTAGAACAGGGCACTGCAGGAGATGTCAGCCAGACATGGAGGGATTTGGATGTACAGAATGGAGGTGAGGTAAAGAGCTACGTGACAGGACATAGACTAATAGAAACAGGTTAATTAAAGCTATAATAGCTAGTTAGGAACGAGCCTAAACTAAAGGCCAAGATTTCATAATTAGTAACGTCTCTGTGTCATTATCTGGGGGCTGGCAGTTCAAAGAAAGTCTGACAAGAAAGACTGGGTACAGAGTCCAGCACAGGGCAGGTAGAGGCAGGAGGATCTGAAGTTCAAGCCATCCTCAGCTACATAACAAGTTTGAGACCAGTTCTGATTACAAAAGACCCTGTCTCAGGTGAGAGGGACATGGAAAGAAAGAAAAGACAGGTTAAGTTACGAGTCAATTGTGAGGAAAGGGAAGGGACAGACCCCAAAAGAGGTCAGGAATGTAGGGAGACGGCCATGAGTCCACAGAGGAGCTGTGGTCCACAGGAAAGTTTCCACAGCTAAACAGACACCTTCTGTCCTTTATCTTCCACGCATAACATCAGCTTCCATCTGAATCCACACTTGCTGTCCTAGGGCAATTCTTGGTCATGAGCATCCTGTCCAGCTGACTCTGGTTTTGCTTCTCCCACCCAGGTCTCTTGCTGAGTCTGGTGACAGCCCTCCCTTCCTGCTCCCTTCCTGGTGCTCAGGACCTGGCCTTCACCATCACAAATGCTCTCTGACTTTCTTTCCCTGAAGAGTCCCCTGTTGTTTAGTTTCCAGCACTTTTATCTTGTTCTACTTAATCTCTCTTGGTCTACAGAAATATCCAAGTTAGATATAGTAATGTATTTATTATAATGTTCCCTCTATATGCTAGCAGATTTAACTCCAGTTAAACACTGTATTGTTTCAATTAAAAACAGCTTGGATGCCAGGCAGTGGTGGCACATGCCTGTAATCCCAGCACTCAGGAGGCAGAGGTAGGCTGATCTCTTTGAGTTTGAGGCCAGCCTAGTCTATAGAATGAGTCCAGGACAGCCAGGGGTGTTACACAGAGAAATTCTATCTTGAAAAAAAAAATTTTCTTTTACAAAGATCATTCACTAGATTAGGAAACACAAATAATAATAATAATAATAATAATAATAATAATAATAATAATGAAGAGAAGGAGGAGGAGGAAGAGGAAGAAGAAGGAAGAAGAAGAAGATGTCTGATGGCTCACAGCCATCTGTAAAGCCAGCTCCAGATCTGACAGCCTCTTCTGACCTCTGAGGGAACTGTACGCTTATACACAAACCCACATATATACACAGTTAAACATAAAACAAAATCTAAACAAAAGGGGAACTTTCTGAGTCAGCAAGTTTCTTTTCCTTCAGTGAACCTTACAATGCTTCATATATTATCTGGAACAAAGTAAGTTTTAGATGTGGCACGTGCCTTTAATCCCAGTACTCAGTAGGCAGAGGTAGGCAGATCTCCGTGAGTTCAAGGCCAGCCTGATCTACAGACCTAGTTCCAAGACAGCAAGAACTACACAGAAAGACCTGTCTCAGAAGAAAATAAAGTTTTAATGCAAAGGACTTTTTACACACACACACACACACACACACACACACACACACACACACTATAAATAGCTCAAACTTCAGAAACTTCTTGTGGGCAAATTGATGAGAACAAATGAACATCATATTTAAAAGATTCTCCTGAGTGTTTTCAAATGAATCCACAGGAAACTGAGAGGACCCAGATTCACATAATCAACTATTGGCGTGTAATGACCTATAATATACTTAGGATGAAAGCATATCTGAAAAGTATTAAACTAATACTTAGGAAAATTAAGTCCTAATTGACTGTGGAGAGAGAATGCAATGACTTGGCCACTGAAGCTGAGACCCTTACGATATCGTCTGTGCGATGGCTCCGGCAACACCGCCACAGAGAAGGTTGATGTGAGTTTTCAGAACTAAGACATTGGGGTTGTCAGACGAAGGTCGGCCAAGCAGGGTGGGGGCATAGGAGAGCCCGACGCTCTTCAAGGTCCCAAAGGTGAAAAAGGAAACACCTGCAAAGCAAAGTACGGACTCACCACGACAAAAACAGAGAGACAGCTTCCTTACACCATCCCAAATCAGCTGGAGGGACAAAGTATGCATTTCCTAGTCTATGATAATTGTCTTAAGATAAGATATTTAATTAATATCTACAAATACTAATTCAAAGATATTACCACCTATAATGATAGCATTGGTTTTCCACACACTAATGTACTATGCATTGAAGGGGCAGTAGTGAACACAATTTCATATCATATAGGAGTAGAATTAAGTAGCATTTCAAAGTTTAAACCGAGTGAAATTTAAACTCATAATTCATAACTCTGGGAAGTTCTAGACAGAGTTTCACCATGTAATCCTGGCTTCCTGGACTAAGATTAAAGGCATGCACCACTACACCTGGCTCATAATTCGTAATTATATATACACATGCACACAATAAATAGATAAAATCAAAAATTTTAACTATAAAGACATCGATGCCAGGTTCATTGGAAACCACCTGTCAGCCCAGCACTTGGGAGTCCCAAGCAAGAGGATCAGGATTTCAAGGTCATTCCCAGCTATACAATAAGTTCAAGACTAGACTAGGGTACAGGAGACCCTGTCTCAAAAATAAATATGCATGCATATGAAACAATAGCATAGCAAAAGCAAAGAAAATACAGTATGTCTCCAACACATTGAACCTTGAAAACACACAACCAAAGAAATCAGTCTCAGCATGATTCCTTTATATGAAAAGCAAACCTACAGAGATAGAAAGGGTGAAAGATGATGTCAAATTATGATGATGCTACAGATCTAAAATCAGCTAAAAACCACTGAACTGGACCCTTACATGGACAGATTGTATGGTGTTCTAGTCATAACTCAATAAAGTTATTACTGAAAAACAACTGAATTGTGATTCATTGAAAGACACTTTGGGGCTGGAGAAATAGCTGAGCCATTAAGAGTACTTGTTGCTCTTGCAAAGGACCCAGCAATGGTGCCTTACATCTGTCTGTAACCCTCTTCTGGCCTCCAAGGGCAATAGGCACATATGCAGTGCACATACACATGCACAGGCAAACACTCATACACACAAGATAAATTTTCAAAAAGGCAGTGCTGTAGCCAGCAGAGCAGTCGCAGTTATAATCCTAGCGCTAGGCCAGCTTGAGCTACAAGACTTACCTAAAAACCAAAAAAGAAACAAGAGAAAGAGATTCATGTATATTACCTGGACTGGCCCAAACTCCCAGGCTCAGTTTTCTGATGTGATTACAGGTATTTACCACTATGGGATGTAGCAGAGGACGATCTTGGAATTCTGACCCTCCTGCCACCACCTCCCCAGTGCCACAATTAAAGAAATGTGCCACCACACATTTTTAAAATTTTATATATACGAGTGTTTGTATGTGCACTACATGTAAGCCTGGTGTCTGCAGAAGAGGGTGTCAGATATCTGAACTGGAGTAACAGATGATTGTGAGGCATCCTGAGGGTACTGGGAACCAAACCCTGGTCTTCTGCAAGAGCAGCCATTTGCTCTTAACCACTGAGTCATCCATCTCTCTAGGTCCCAAATCTCAAGTCTTAACTTTAGTGTTCATTACTAAGGCTTTAACTAAATATGGTTAATAAAAGACATAAAAATTGCATTTCTACTCAGAGTACCTAAATAGTAAATTTTATATGCAATGGGCTGTAAGACCATATACGAAACATAACTCTATCTTCATCATTAATTAATAACCATTTTCAGATAGCATCTCTCACGTTGTCACTTAAAAACACTGATGACATGAACACAAACAGGACGCTGCCAAATTTCACTTAGCTCTGCTTTGATGTGTTTTAATTTTGAGATGGAGTCTCACTATGTAGCCCTGGCTGGCCTGGAGCTCACTATGTAGATCACTCTCGTTTCTACCTCACAGAGATCTGCCTGCCTCTGCCCCTGCCTCTGAGCACTGGGGTTAGAGATGTGCACCACCTGTCTAGCCCAATTTGAATCATACCTGCATATGGAGCCATTCCTAATATAGTAGGCATCAGACCTCTGTAGAACCCAAGGAAACCACCTTCCTTTGAATGAAGAAAATGAGAAGATTATATAGAGTTCACTATGTTAAACATCCTAATAAAAGCATATGATACACTAGAAACAACCCCAGGACTCACCTGAAACACAGTATGAACTTCTCAGGATTAGGGCTGCTGTGATCACTTACAATGACCTCCCTCCCTCCCTCCTCCACTCTCTCTTTTTCCTGTGGTACTGGAGATCAATCCAGGACTTGCATAAGGTAAGGAAGTGCTCTAGCACTAATCTACACTCCTGATCTAGCATCATTAATTCCAAATAAAGGAAAAAGTACAAAGCCTTCAATACTTTCCTAAATATGAGAAGACATGCAGTCAGTTAGGAAAGTGGGATGAAATACCTTGGCATAAATTGTCTTGAATGCATGAATGATCCCTGAATAGGTGTGCTCTCCTTTCACCTGGAAGGCTAGACGCACCCTAACGACATCAAGAGGGTAAGTACAGATGACCGCTGTCATGCCTGAAAAGAACAGAATCATACATGTAAAAAGTGTCTCCACACACACACACACACACACACACCTTCCCTATAATAACATTCTCAGCATTATGAAAATGGTGAAACCTAATCCGAGAAAGGTGATATCAGGGACTAAAGGATTAGATCAGATAATAGCAGTACTTAAAACCAAACAAACAAACCCTAAGGTGAGTTAGGGGGTTTTAGTTAGTTGGTTTTTAGAGACAGGATCTCACTCTGTAGCCTTAGCTGGCCTAGAACTCAAGAGATATGCCTGTCTCTGCCCACGAGTACTAGGTGTGAAGGTGTGTGCTATCCATCCGTCCCAGAAAGAGGCAGTTTCCAAACATCATTTCAAGCACCTCTCATAGTGAAATCCCAAAGTGGTGCAGACAAACAGATTATGGGTTTCATTCTACTGGGTGTGAGGTTAGTAATAAAAACAACTGTAGGCCGGGCAGTGGTGACATGTGCCTTTAATCCCAGCACTCTAGAAGCAAAGGCAGGTGAACCTCTGAGTTCGAGGCCAGGCTGGTCTACATAATGAGTTCCAGGACAGCCAGGCTAAACAGGGAAACCCTGTCTCAAATAAGCAAGAAAGACAAAGAATCCCCCCCCCAAAAAAAAGAAAAGATTGTAAAAATGGGTGGGGTGGGAGGGCAGCACAGCAGAAGCCCAGGGCCTGCTTTGTGTCTGGCAGACTGATCTCTCTCTCTCTCTCTCTCTCTCTCTCTCTCTCTCTCTCTTTCTCTCTCTCTCTCTCGTTTTTTGAGACAGGGTTTCTTTGTAGCTTTGGAGCCCGTCCTGAAAGTTACTCTGTAGATCAGGCTAGTTATGAACTCAGAGACCTGTGCCTGTCCCTTCTTTCTGAGTGCTAGGACAAAAGGTGTGCGCCACCACCACCCGACTGTAGAGGATTTTCTTTTGGGCCACCAAGCAGCTCATAAAATCACGACACAGAGACTTATTATTAGTTATGGATACTCAGCCTTATCCTATGCTCATCCCTCTTAGAACTTAATTTAACCTGATATTTTTATCTATGATTTGCCTTGAGGCTTTTTATCTTTTTTTCATTCTGTATGACCTACTCCGTGTCTGGTTGGCTGGCAGCTGCCTGGCGCCAGGTATCTCTCTTTCTCCCTCATTCTCTTCCTTCTCTTTTCTTCTCTTCTCTTCTCTTCTCCTTTCCTCTCCTCTCCTCTCCTCTCCTCTCTCTCTCTAGCTACATCCCTCCTACTTGTTCTTTGTGTCTGCCAGCTCCACCTAACCCTCCTCTGTCTAGCTATTGGCCAGTTGGCTTTTTATAAGACCAATCAGGTGCCTTAGGCAGGCAAGGTGAAACAGCAACACTCTTTACATAATTAAACAAATGGAATATAAACAGTTGTAACGAATTTTTGCCTAGCTAAAGTAATATTCTACAACAACCATGTCTTCAAATACATCTGCATAAAACCTTGTGAAGCCCCACTTCTTTGAGATGTGGGGTAGTATGGGTACTTGAGCTAGACTCTACAAAGAACCTCAGTCACATGTTCCTTATTCGACAGCTTGGTGAAGATCAACATAATGACATGGCCAAAGTGAACCTATCTACTGTGTCCTGAAGGCTCCCAAAGGCACCCTGAACATCTGGCTGTTGGGAGCCTGTCAACCCCTCACAGGACAGCATCGCAGATGATGCAGGAAGGGTAGAAACACACTTGAACATGAATGTCAACTTCACAGCATTCTTTGCCATGTGCTTGTGGGTGCAGGTATGGATGGCCTCCAGGGCTTTGGAAGAGCTGCTCTTGTTCATCTGACACCAGTGGCCACACAGCAAGAATTCATCCATACCGGCCTTCTTCCATCAGGTCAAAGATGCAGATCTTAGCACCAGACATACCAGAGCAGAAGGGAGACTTGGGTGTAGCCTGTTCTTACAACCCCTGCAGCATTGGGAGGCATCCCATAGTGATACCAGAATCTTTGATGGTGTTCTGTAGGGAGAGAAGTTCCTAAGGTTTCACAGAGTGGAATCTATTCTACTTATTGGTACCCAGTTTACAGGATTAACTTCAGAGCACAATCACTACTTTGTCTTTAGAATTTAGATCACTGCCATGGGCCGGCCATGCCAGAGGAGCAGTGAGCTGCTCCCAGAAGGTGTCAGCCCACCTGAAGGGCATCCTCTGATGGGCCAATCTCATTAGAAAAGGTCGCAGGACTTTAGACCCTGCGTTGTCTTCTGCTTCTGCTGTGCCTTTACATGTTGGCTGTGACTCTTTCTCTGGCATCTAGCATGGTATAAGAGGACATGGGGAGATCTCCACTGCCTGTAAGGTAGTGTGTTTATCTCTTGGAAACATTCTGTTCTATCGGGCATTTTTACCTGAGGATTGTCAAGAAAATGACCCCTCCCTAAGCTGTGCTGTTCAATTTGATAATAATAATGATAGCTTATACAGAGTTCTGATGAATAAAGATAAATACAAGCATATGTTTCACAGCCTGGGCCTGTGAGTCTCACCTAAGGAGCTGCATGGGTTATAGCTCAAGTTAATGACTAACAACTGAATCCCAGTAGCCCAAGTTTAAATTCTTTTAACATTAATGTCGGGAGATGTGTTCACAGGTCTCGGAGGGCATCACAGCTGAAACAAACCTTTGAAAATAACAGAGTTAGACTAAGTTGTTTTTGTTAAATAACTTTGAGGTGAAAAACCTCAAAAGACAATCTAAAGTTTTAGAAAGGCACATAGTTGAATGTTGGGAGCAGTGAACCCCCAGATCCTGAATTTCTTGTAAACAACTTGTTTTCCCCTGCTCTGAGACAGCCTGCAGCTGCTCTGAGCAGAGACCCTCGGGAGTTCCTGATGGCAGGGGAGTGGTTTCTGGTGAGTTTGGCTGGGGCGTGGCTATCAGTTAAGGATCTCTATCTAAGCGGCTCTGGTAAGCAATAAAGTGGGTATTCCTGGGGCATTCCTGTTTCAAGGATGACCTGTGTCTCTGTCTGTGTGTCTTTGTTCAGTTCAGTGGCCCTTGCCCAGTTCACAAACTGTGTGGTGGCACATAGAGCGCAGATGGGCGTAGTGCGCCACAGGTGAATGCGGAACTCTTCAAAGTCAGGAAACAAGAACAAAGCAGACCAATTATTACTCTCTTTGCTGGGGCTGGCTGATGACGAAAGGTGATGAGTAACTCCTTATACCCATTTCTCTCCTCAATCTCCTAATGAAAAAACTATTAATGAATGGATATGCATCCTAAAGATTTAAGTAGAGTTGAATGATTCTTTTTCATATATAAAAGTTTAGGTTTGTGATTTCTTTAAGATTCCTTACAAGATTACCTTTCAAGAAAAGTAATAAAGTAATTGGTCCTTTCTTTGTAACTGCAAAATGCAGCTTGCCAGTAAAAGACCTGACAAAAATACCTTGCTTGTCACATGGTTAATCTATAACAAGTTGCTTGGGTTTGAATGCATATGGGTTCTTGGGATGATTTGTTTTTCACCTGTAATCATAAAATGTTTGATCATGTGAAGAAGATGAGAAACATATGTTTACTCAAAATCATTCACTTGAAAAACGGAATGCAACTGTTTTGACTCTTGTACTGCCTAGAAGATTCTGTGGGGGTATAAAAGCTGTAAAACAACATGAGCTAGAGAGAAAATAAAGAAGAAGAGGAATAAAGAAGGGAACCATTAAGAGAGTTTGTGAGTGCCTTTTTCCCTAACGCCCTCAGATAGAAAAGTTTAGCTTTGCCGACTCCGTGGATTCCTGTCAAGGTCCTGTGCTGCTGGAGGCTGGTCCCCAGACAGCAGCAGATCACTTTATTATTAACTAAATAGAATAAAAAAATATGTGGGGCTGGAGAGCTGGCTCAATGGTTAAGAGCACCAGCAGCTTGTACAGAGGTTCTGAATTCAATTCCCAGCTCACAACCATCCCTAATAAGATCTGGTGCCCTCTTCTGGCCCATAGGCATACATACAGGCAGAACACTATATACATAATAAATAAATCTTTGAAAAAAATATGAATAGTCAGCTGTGTATTGTGGCTGACACAAGCAACCCAGCATTCCAGCAGCTGAGGCAAAAGAGTTACCACAAATCCCCAGGCCAGCATGAGCTACCTAGTAAATTCTAAGCAGCCTAGGTTACAAAGTAACGCCAAACCCAGCACTCCCAGAGGCAGATCTCTGAGTTTGATGCCAGCCTGGTTTACAGAACAAATTTCAGGACAGTTAGAGTTGTAGAGAAACTCTATCTCAAAAAACAAACAAACAAACAAAAGGCTGGTCATAGAGTGTATTTTCAGATACACAATGAATTTTTATTTATTTATTTATTTATTATGTATACAGTATTCTGTCTGCTTGTATGCCTGCAGGCCAGAAAAGGGCACCAGACCTCATTACAGATGGTTGTGAGCCATTATGTGGTTGCTGGGAAATGAACTCGGGACCTTTGGAAGAGCAGGCAATGCTCTTAACCACTGAGCCATCTCTCCAGCTCCTACACAATGAATTTAAGGCCAGCCTAAGCTACATGCCTGACATGGTGGCTTTAGTCCCAGCACTCAAGGAAGCAGAGGAACCTTTGAGTTTGTGTCCAGCCTGGTCTACATATGAAATTTGAGGTCAGTCAAAATAAGAGGAAATCAAAAGGGGGCAAGAGGGCAGGGAGATGGCTCAGAAGGTCAAAGAACCTGCAGCAGCACAAGTTGCCATCTGGGTTAGAACCCCAGAAAGCATGGTAGGAGAGCCAACTTCCAAAGTTGTCTGGACCTTCACATGTGTACTCATGAGTACACGCACCCATGAACACACACACACACCCAAATGTTAAATAATAAAAAAAAAATTAAAGGACCAGTGAGATAGTTCAGCAGGTAAAGACATTTACCAACAAGTCTAACCTGAGCCCAATTTCCAGGAAAAAGAAACAAAGCAATTCGTACACACTCTCCTCTGATCTACACACACACACACACCCCACATATACACACATATAATTTAAAATTTTGTAAGGCAGGAAAAATACCTTTTTACTTTGCGTTTATTTTTTGCCTTGTTTTGTTTGTTTGTTTGTTTTACTTCTCAAGACAGGGTTTCTCTGTGTAGCCCTGGCTCTTCCTGGAACTCAATCTGTAGACCAGGTTGGCCTCGAACTCAGAGATCTGCCTGCCTCTGCTTCCTAAATGCTGGAATTAACAGTGTGTACCGCCACTGCCCAGTTATTTTTTGCTTTTTTGACACTATCTTGCTATATAATCCAGGCTGGTCACCAAGTTTCGATGATCCTCGTGTCTCAGCCTTCAGAATGTGAGGATTCTAGGCACATACCACTGTGTTGGCAAAACCTCTTGTCTCGGGAACGTCAATAGTAAGCCCTCAATGTTTTTTTGTTTGTTTGTTTGTTTTGGTTTTGTATTTTTTTAAATATAGGGTTCCTCTATTATGTATCTCTGGCTGTTCTGGAACTCTGAAATGCAGACCAGGCTGGCCTCTGACTCCCAAATTCTGGGATTTACAGTGTGTGCCCCCACACCTGACATCTCAGTTCCCCATGAACATATGATTTCAATGCACTAATGGGACACCTTCATCTTCCAGGGGGAATGAGCCTCAGCCAAGATAAAATGTACTTCTGGTTGTTGTAGACAGGCAAATTCCTCTTTTCCTCTTGAGTCAAGAAATTGAGAACTAACCGTCATCTGAAGCAGGGAAAGCTTCCCTGTCTACATGCTCACACATACGGAAAACAGACAACTGTGTTGTGCTATTATTTTTCTCTCTCTTAATTGGTATTTGGAGACAAAGTCTCACTCTGTAGCCTAGGTTGGCCACTAGCTCTTGGCAATCTACCTGCCTCTACCCAGAATCACAGTGCTGGAATCACAGGCATGAGCCAGCACACCATGCATTACTTTCTCATTCCCTCTATCCCTCCTTTCCTCTTTTGAGACAGGACCATGCTCTGAGGCCTTGGTTACCTCAGATTCTCTGTGCAGCCCCAGCAGGCAGGGAACTCAGGTCCTCCTGCCTACACTTTCACAGTACTGGACAATGATGGCATTTGTCTACTGAGAAGAGCTTGGAGGAACTCAGCATTATCTTCTCGACCTAGTCAGCATATTCACTGTGTACACAAACCAAAAATATTTGGGGGTACACGCCTCTGGTCCCAGCACACAGGAGGCTGAGGCAGAATTATGAGTGTCCAGGAGGAGACTCGGGTGTGAGATGACTCGGTGGGTAAAGGGACTATCTGCCAAGTCTGACAACCTGAGACAGGAGAAGAGAGTCTACTCCAGCAAGCTGTCTCCTAACCTCCTGGTCTCTGGTTTCCTGTCTCCCAGTGTGATAGCCCTCACACATACATTCTCATAACACTGGGATGTCATTATTCCCAAGTCCCTCACCGGATGCCAAACATATGGAGCCACAAGTTCTTTAACTTCCAGCATACGAAAGTGTGTGCTAAATAAATCTCTTGTGTTTCTAAAGTACCCAGCCTCCAGTATTCTGCCACAGTAACAAAGATGAGCACTATAATGCATTAGAGATACAGAAACTAAGCCACAAAGCGAATGACATTCCTTAGATGTTGTAAGGAGTCCAGTTCTATAGTGTGTCTGGGGGTAGAAGACGACTGCTTGATCTTGAGTTGGAGGAAACCACACAGACTTGTGGATAGTTGGGAGCAAGAAGAGCTGACAGCCGAGACCACCTAAGAAAAGACTCTGCTGGGCATTGTAGACACATCTTTAACCTCACACTAGGAAGAGGAAGGTCCATCTCTGTGTGTGTGAGGCCAACCAGGGCTACAGAAAAACCCATCTCGAAAAGCCACCAAGAGAGAGAGAGACAGAGAGAGAGAGAGAGAGAGAGAGAGAGAGAGAGAGAGAGGAAAAAGAAAAATTTTCTCTAAAATCTCTCTAACACTCCAGGGCCACAGGAGCCATCATTTGGTGTGGGAGAATTGTCTGTATTCTGTCAATCATATTTTAATAAAATGCTGATTGGCCAGGCAGGCAGGCAGGATAGGTGGGAAAGCCAGACAGGAAGTAGAGGTGGAGCAAAGAGACTGGGAGTATTCTGGGAAGCAGGAAGCTCCCTCCGCAGTTCTGCCCAGACCACCGGAGAGGAAAGATGTAAGCTGCCCCGCTGGAAAAGGTACTGAGCCATGTGCTAAAGTAGATAAGGATAATGGGGTAACATAAGTTATAAGAGCTAATAAGTAGCCTGACCTAATGGGCCAATCAGTTTATAATCTTATGGAGTCTTGTGTGTGATTTTCCTTGGGGCTTGCCGGCTGTGGGGTACTAGGCGGGACAGATACCCCAACAAGCCGGCCCTCATGTTACAATCATTATTAAAATAAAACAAACTGTGTGGTGCAGAGCCTTCTGAGCTGTGTTTTCACACAGAAAAGAGAGTCTCCGACTGGAATCACAGTTCAGGAAAGAGTACTCGCCTGGAATATTTGCAGTCTTGGTAGAGAGCAGAGGTCTGTGTCTGAGGCCAGGAAGCCACTTTAATCCCAACATTAAGGCAAACTCACAGAGATCCACCTGCCTCTGCCTCCCAAGTGCTGGGATTAAAGGTGTGTGCCACCACTGCCTGGCACCTTTTGTTTTTTTAAGACATGGTCTCATGTTGCCCAGGCTGGGCTCAAAATTACTATTTAATCAAGGATGCCCTTGAACTTCTGATCCTCCTATCTCTACCTCCCATTGTTGAAATGACAGGAAAACACAACCTTGCCTGGTTTAAGTGATGTTGGGAAATAAACCCAGGGGATCCTGCATGCTAGGCAAGCATTCTACAAACTGAGGTTCATCTCTAGCCCCACAATCTTTTTTTCTGTACCCTAGAAGTAGCATACACAAGGAGAAACAATATGAGAACACAGCTGTGGATTCCACTTGAACAAATCAATAAGTTACAGCAGTCTTGAGTGATTCACCATTGCCAAAGGGCGGATGAGTAACCGTGGTCAGCCTGGCTCCCAGGAAGTGTGCTGTCTGCTCAGCCACCCAGAACCGCAGGCAAGAAAAGACCATGACTTCCTATCTAGGTTTTAGAAATTCCCTTCTTTTTCTGTCACCTTTATCTTGTCATCCTTAGTTCCATGGGAACTGACAGAGGCAAGAAGATCTTCCTCAAGAACATGACATTGACTCTCAGCCGGTGGCTTTTCATTCAGTATGTACAGAACTGTAACTGTAGAATGGGGGAATGGGCTCTGCCAAGGTTTAAAATAAGATGCGCTGAAACAATCATTTCAAAAATCCACTTTTTACTTTGAAAAATATAAAATTCATATTGCTAAATTTAAAGGTGACTAAAGGAAAGCAAAGATAACAGATTACTAAAAATAAATTAACCAGAACATTAATTCATATTTAAATAATAGGAACAAAATATAAACTGTAATTAATTAAACAGGGAACAACAGAACCATCAGACAGCCACAGACTAAATAGTCTTCCGTTACCTAAACAATAAATGTTTTTTGCTTTTTCAAGACAGGGTTTGCTGTGTTTCTGTGTAGTCCTGGCTGTCCTAGAACTCACTCTGTAGACCAGGCTGGCCTCAAACTCAGAGATCTACCTGCCTTTGCCTCCCGAGTGCTGGGATTAAAGCAGTGCACCACCACTGTTTGGCTAAAAATAAATATTTTTTTAAATAAAGATTAATTTTTCTTATTTTTAATTGTGTGTCTGTCTGTCTGCCTGTATGTGGGTATATGCAAGAGAGTGCAGATGCCCATGGAGGTCAGAGGCATCAAATCCTCATGGAGCTGGGTCACCAGAAACTGTGAACCACGTGAAGTGAAAGCTAGGAACCAACCTAACTCTGGTCCTCTGTGAGAGCAGAAATGGGGCTGGAGAGATGGTGTGGTAGTTAAGAGTACATATTACTCTTCCAGAAGACCTCAGTTCAGTTCCTAGCACACATGTTGGGTAGCCCATCCAGTCAATAACTCCAGCTCCAAAGGATCCAACATCCTCTTCTGGCTTCTAGTGCGGGAGGCTTCCATGGGCAAGTGTACACACACACACACACACACACACACACACACACACACACAAATAAAGATAAATATTTAAGGGGCTAAGGAGATGGTTCAGTGGTTAGAGTACTGGTAGCTCTTCCAGAGAACCCAGGTTCAGTTCCCCGCACCCACATGGCAACTCACAACTGTAACTCCAGTTCAGGGGATCTGACACCCTCATATAGACATACAAGCGGGCAAAACACCAATGCTCATAAAACAGAAATAAATAAAATTTAAAAATAAATAAATATTTAAATACAGGCCAGCCACAATTACATAGTGAGACTGTATGTCAAAAAAAGGAATAAATATATTTGAATAAATCTATTTTTTAAGAGCAGCAAGTACTCTTAATTGCTTAGTTATCTCTCTAACCAAAATTAAGGACTTTAATACAAAGAAAACTTACTTACCAAATATAAATATACCAAATATAATTTATTCATCTTACCTGCCATGGATCCAGCCATTAATCTGTGTACATGACCAGAAACTCCCAGCTTTGTAGTAATGAACTAGAAACCAAAAACACTGAATTAAATGAGATTATATTTTATGTGTTAAAGTTAGAAGAGCCAGAGAGATGGCTTAGAGGTCAAGAGCATTTGCTGCTCTCGGATTCTCTTCCCACTACCCACAAGGTGGCTCATAACTGACCATAACTGCAGTCCCAGGGAATACAGCACCCTCTTCTGGCTACCATAGGCACCAGACATTTACAATACACACACACACACACACACACACACACACACACACACACACACAATGAAAACAAATGTCTGGCATCAAACATAATATTTAAAGAGATAAAAGAGAAAATCCAACTACCGTTTTGTAATGCTCAAACGCCATGAACTGGATTGCACCATAGGGAAAGATTCGAATCATCATTGCACCATTTCCTTTATACAGTCCAAGGTATCCTTCTTTTTGGGGAACGGCACGCAGCGTAGAAAGTACCCCTATTTATGGAAAGAGTTTAGAAGAAAAACACTATTAAAGTCTTGAAAACTATAACTTCGAGCCAGGCACATGGCTCACATCTGTAAGCTTTTTTTTTAAAAAAATATTTATTTATTTATTTATTATGTATACAATATCCTGTCTACATGTATACCTGCAGGCCAGAAGAGGGCACCAGACCTCATTAGAGATGGTTGTGAGCCACCATGTGGTTGCTGGGAGTTGAACTCAGGACCTTTGGAAGAGCAGGCAATGCTCTTAACCTCTGAGCCATCTCTCCAGCCCCATCTGTAAGCTTTCTTAACTGTTTTTGTTTTGTTCTCCTTTTTCTGTTAGTATGTATCTATTTGCCATTATGTATGTGCTTGAGAATGTGTGCACACTGGTGTGTTCATGTAACTGTGCATGTGTGGAGTCAGAGGACAACTTTGAGGAGCCAGTTCCCTCCTTCCATATTTATATGGGTTCTGGGGATCAAACTCAAGTCAATAGGCTTAAACGGCAAGCATATGACCCACTGCGCCCTCTTTCTGATCCTCATTTTTGTTTTCTTTTTGTTGTTGTTGTTGTTGTGTGTGGTGTCTGTGTGTGTGTTGTTTTATGACGGGGTCTCACTATGTAGCTCCAGCTGGCCTGTAGTTCACAGAGATCTGTCTGCCTCTCTGCGGGATTAAAGACACGACACGTGCCACCAGCTGGACCCTGCTTTGTTCTTTTTCCTAACTGTAACCTCAACATAAGGGAGGAAGATAGCATACTCAAGGCCAACCTAAAGAACAGTATGTCTCAATGCTCTCTCCTCCAATAAACATATCTAAATTCAAATTTTCATAGAAAACAGACAAACATTACTAAACCATCATTCATAACAAAACTGTATTTGAGGAATTATATAATTTCATGAGTGTTTTGCTTTGTTTTCTTAGAGAGGTTCTCCTATAACCCAGGCTGATCTCAAACACACAACACAGCCAGGAATGACCTTGAGTCCTGATCCTCCTGCCTCTACCTCTCAAGTGCTGGGATTATTAGTGTATACCATCAGCCCTGACCACAAGTGGTAATTTATTTATTTTTTTTAACAGTTTATTTTCTTATTTCTAAGAGACTGATGATGAAGCTTTTTAAAAAATGTGCATTGGTGTGTTGCCTGTGTATATATCTGTGTGAATGTGTCAGAACCCTGGAACTTGAATTACAAACAGTTGTGAGTTGTCATGTGGGTGCTGGGAATTGAACCTGGGTCCTCTGGATGATCAGCCAATGCTCTTAACTGTTGAACCAACTCTCCAGCTCCAATTTCTTTATTTTATTTCATGTATACAACTCTTTTGTCTACATGTATGTATGCATTATATGAGTGACAGGTGCCCATAAAGCTCAAAAGAGGGTATTGAATTCCCTGGAACTGGAGCCATAGATGACCATTAGCACCATTGTGTGGGTGCTGAGAACTGAACCCAGGTCTCTACATGAACAAAAAGTGCTTCCAACCTTTGAGCCATCTCTCCAGCCCACAACAGGAATGGTAAATTTCTATATTATAGTTAAACTGCATCATTTATCTAAGTCATATAAATAAGCTTTACTAACACAAAATATACGGTTTACCACTGAGATGGACATGGTAGTGCACACTTTTAATCCGAGCACCGGAAAGGCAGAGGCAGGTGGATCTCTGTGAGTTCAAGGCCAGCCTGATCTACACAGTAAGTTTCAGGACAGGGCTATGTAAAGAGACCCTGCAATAAAAATAAATAGATAGATAAGATAGATAAAATGATAAATGAATAAACCAACAAAAAAACCTTACCACTGAAAGAACAGCTATTAATCTTTAAAAAATTATATTCAAAGTCATAGCAAATATCTTGAATGAACCAGAACCACCTAACAAGCTTAGCAGCAGCAATAAATATATCTGATGTTCAGATGTTGCACTGAGGATTATAAGGATCTATCTGAAATGATGAGAGAAGGCTCCTCAGGCTGGCCTAAGTACAAGTTTATTTTCATAAGGAAATAAGAAACAAGGAAGTAGCAGGAACAGGCACCTCTGGGTACTCAAGACGGTAGCAGAACGAAGTGGCAGAGCTCTTGTTTAACTTGTGTGAGGCAACAGGTTCAATAATCAGTACCAAACACAAAACTTTAAAAAGTCAGCCAGGAGGAAGTGGCACACACCTTTAGTCCCAGCACTCAGGAAGTAGAGGCAGGTGGATCTCTGAGTTCAAGGCCAGTATGGTCCACAGAGTTGCAGTCTGGACAGCCAGGGCCAAACAGTAAAACCCTGTTTTGAAAAACAAAACAAAACAAAAACAAAACAAAAACAAAAACAAAAAAACAAAAAAGTCTAGGAACTGCTTAATGCCGAGGGTACTGTTTGTCCTGGGAATACCGACAAAGGGCTTCGCTCTGCTCCACCTGTGGGTATCTTTAGATTCCAGCAACATGACTCACTAATCCATTAGTATCCACTGGGCCATATGCCAAGATGCCCAGTGGATAGCTGAAACTTCACATAATATCAAACCCCAGGAACACTACGTTTTCCTGTACAAACATACTTACGATAAATTTTAATCCGCAAATCAGGCACAGTAAACTGTGCATGGTGGTTTGCTCCAGTGACATCCGCACTGAGAGGACTGAGACAGAAGGGTTGACAAGAACAGGCCAACCTCTGCTACAGAGTGAATTCTAGGCTAGCCTAGGCTTCAGTGAGATCTTATATTTAAAAAATTAATTAAACAAAATAGATAAAAGAAAACCAGTTATGGGGACCCAATCCTATACTCTAGTAATTGGGTGGCTGAGACAGGAGTCCAAGGACAGCTTGGACTACACAGCTACAGAACAGACAGAGCTGCATCGGGAGACATGGTCTAAAAAGAGGAGTAGCAAGTAGTCTCTTGGAAGCTTGTCCCAAACATCAACTCTCTTACTCTTCTCTGCACAAGAAAACAGGTAGGCAATGCTTCACTCCTTTCCATCTTCAGCATCTACCTAGTTTTTACGTCAACTTGACATAAGCTAGAGTTATGTGAAAGAGAGAACCTCAAATGAGAAAATGCCTCCATAAAATAGGGCTGTAGGCAAGTCTATAGGGCATTTTCTTAATTAGTGATTGATGGAGGAGGGCCATCCCTGGGCAGATGGTCCTTGGTTCTATAAGAAAGTAGACTGAAGCCAGCTAGTGGTGGCGGCACATGCCTTTAATCCCAGCACTGGGGAGGCAGAGGCAGGCAGATCTCTGTGAGTTCGAGGCCAGCCTGGTCTACAGAGTAGACAGAACAGAACAGACTCCAAAGCTACACAGAGAAACCCTGTTTTGAAAAACAATAACTAACCAACTAACTAACTAAATAAATAAATATATAAAGTAAAAAAGAAAGTAGACTGAGCAAGCTATAAGGAGCAAGCCAGTAAGCAGCGCTCCTCTGCTGCCTATGCATCAGCACCTGCCTCCAATTTCCTGCCCTGTTTGAGTTCCTGACTTCCTTCAGTGAAGAACTGTGATATAGAGGAGTAAGTCAAATAAACTGTTTCCTCCCCAACTTGTTTTTGGTCATGGTGCTTCATCCCAGCACTAGAAAGCCACACTAGGACAGCATCTGTAACTCACCTAAATGTTTGTAATGGTGGTTGTGAGCTTGTAATAAAACCTTTACTCGATCCAAAGGAGCAACTGTGGTTTTAGCACAGCACCCAGCAATACCTAAAAGAAAACGGAAAGGTCAGATAGAATCTGGATACCATCTCTTCCTAAAGGGAAATCATCGCGGGTCTAGTGAGTACCCCAACTATGGTTCAGTTTGGTCCCCATAATGAGAACTGCTTGGTATTAGGGTTATGCAGATGACTGACCCCCAATCCCTGCAACCTAAAAGCTAGTTTTAAGAGTATACAGCAATGCAATACCCAATGTCTGATGAGCAGAGGGCAAGATACCCAACCAGGAAGTTCTACTTGAAACTGATTTCTTGGCCAACTGGTGGTGGTGCACGCTTTTAATCCCAGCACTCATGAGGTAGAGGCAGGCGGATCTCTATGAGTTTGAGGCCAGCCTGGTCTACGGAGCGAGTTCCAGGACAGGCTCCAAAGCTACACAAAAAAAAAAAAAAAAGAAAAGAAAAAAAGAAACCAGGTCTCTGTGAGTTCCAAGTTTCCAAACCAGCCTGGTCTATGTAGTGGCTTCCAGGTCAGCCAGGGCTCCATGCATGGTGAGGAGCCGCCCCACCACCACCAAAAACAATTTTTCTTCTGGCTTTATCGTGGAAACCCTGTCTCGAAAAACTGAAAAGAAAAAAAAAACAGAAACTGATTTCTTCTAGAAATATATTCTTCATTAAAACAGCAAAACAACCTTTGCTCATGAAATTAATCATTCATTTACAATGCAGCAAGTATGCATTTGGTGCCTACACTGTTCCACCAGCACATGGTAGGCATGGAAGCAGAGACATGCTTACAGGAAGTTCACTTAGATCCCTGAGATGTCAGCCCAGCAATAAAGATGGTTTTAAAATGATCAAATGGAGGACATGGTGACATAAACCAGCCTTTGGAAAGTTGTGACAGAGGATTGCTGTGAGTTCCCTTTGCTGCAGATATGCACTTCCAGGCCAATTTAAACTACAGAGTGAGATCATATCTTAAAAAAAAAGAAAAGGAAAAAAGAAAAAAAAAACAGGTCATAGCCCATGCCTTTAATCCCAGTATTTGGGAGACAGAGGCAAGTAGGTTATCTGTGTGAGTTGGATGCCAGCCTGGTTTATATAGTGAGTTCCAGGACACCTATGGTTACATAGAGAGACACTGTCTCAAGGAAAAAAGAAAGCTGGGTGGTGGCGCACACCTTTAATCCCAGCACTCGGGAGGCAGAGGCAGGTGAATCTCTCTGAGTTGGAGACCAGCCTGGTCTACAAAACAAGTTCCAGGACAACCAGAGGTAAACAGAGAAATTCTGTCTTAGAAAAAGAAAGAAGGAAAGGAAGAAAAGCAAAAGAAAGAAAATAAATTTTAGGAGTTTGAGAGATAATCCAACAGTTAAGAGCACTGCTTGTTCTTCCAGAGGACCTGAATTCGATTACTGGCACCTATAGGGTAGCTCAAACCATCTGTAATTCCAGTACCAGGATGCCCTCTTCTGGCATCCACTGGCAGTCCCTGCATATGGTGTGAAGACAGACATATAGGCAGCCAGACAGTTGTGGTACACACCTTTAATCCCAGCACTTGGGAGGCAGAGGCAGGTGGATCTCTGTGAGCTTGAGGCTAGCCTGGTCTACAAGAGCTAGTTCCAGAACAGGCTCCAAAGACTACAGAGAAACCCTGTCTTGAAAAACAAAAAACAAACAAACAAACAAAAGACATAAATACAGGCAAAACCCCCATACACATAAAATAAAAATAAAGGAAAAACTTTTTAATTTAATCACATACAAAATATTATGAAGACTTTTCTACCAGAGTCAGGCATGGGGTTCACACCTATAATACCAACACTGGGAAAGCAGACGCAGAATATCTGCCTCAGGTCATATCAGCTTTGAAGCCAGCCTAGACTGCATAAGACCCTGTTTCAAAACACTACCACCACCACCTACTGCACAAACATGAGGACCCGAATCTAGGCCTGAGTCCAGATCACGAGTACCCATCTAAAACCTGGGCATGGTTGCATCTGACTGTAACCTCAGCGCTGGCAGGCTGGAGCAGGCAGATCTCTGGAGCCCACTGATCAACCACCCTAACCAATCAGTGAGCTCCAGGGAAAGACTGCTTCAAAAACTAAGGTGGATGGCCAGTCACTGGAGTTGGAATTTTCTTTGAGCTGACAACCAGGTCCCAAATAAAGACAGAGAGACTTATTATTAATTATGAATGCTTAGCCTTAACTTAGGCTTGTCACACGCACATACACAGAGAGAGATAAATGTAATTTTTAAATAAATAAAAAGAATCTTTCCCCCCTTCCAAAGTGCTGGTCATGGTGGCACATGGCCTACAAATGCAGGACTAGGCCAAGGCAGCAGAACTGGAAGAATCATGAGTTTAAAGTCAGCCTTGGTCAACCAGTTCCTTTCTTCCTGTGGATCTGGTACGCAAGAGCTGCCAAGTATAACCTCCTTGGTAGTCTATGCAGCCTGCTGGGTGTCCAGTTTCCCCTTAGAGACCTTCGGGACAGTTTTCTGATGGGTGTTTAGATCTCTGATCTCAATGCTGACCCCCAACCTAGGACTCGGAAAAATAGACAGGGTACCTTTGGGAAGCCCTAGGACAATGTGGCCAGGGTTCATGTAGTGGTTTGAATGAGAACAAACCCCATAGTCTCATATGCTTGAATACTTGGTCCTAAATTGGTGAAACTGTTTGGGAAGGCTCAGGAAGCATGGACTTGTTGAAGGATGTGGGTCACTGTGGGTACAGGCTTTGAGGTTTCAAAAGACTCCCACCAGTGTGTCTTCCTATGCCTCCTGTTTAAAGATCAGAATACGCTCTCAGATGTTGCTGAAGTTACGCCTTTGCTCTGCCATCGTGAACTCTGAAACCAAAGCCCAACTAAACACTTTTTTTTTTTTTTGAGATGGGGTCTCACTATGTATTCCTGGCTGTTCTGGAATTTGTTCTGTAGGTCAGGTGTGCCTTGAATTCACAGACATCAACCTGCCATTTTCCTAAAGCACTGGGATTAAAGGAGTGTGCCACCAGGCCCAGTCAATAGATCTTTCTTTTGTCCTCTGATACAGACACACACACACACACACAGAGAGAAAGAGAGAGAGAGAGAGAGAGAGAGAGAGAGAGAGAGAGAGAGAGAGGCCAAAGTGGGCACCTAACTGGAACTCAGGTGTTCCAGTATGAATAAAAACATGTCATTGTTTTGTTTTGTTTTGTGTTTTGAGACAGTCTGGCCTCAAACTTACATAGATCCACCTGCCTCTGCCTCCTGAATGCCAGAAACAAGAGATGCTTTTTCAATCTGCAGAAGAAAATAATTGCATTCTCAATACCACTGCAAGCTATGGACACAATCTTTCCACAAGTCCTCATAATGTGGGTTTTTTAAATTGCCATTCGTAAATAATTAGGTGGTAACAACTCAAGCAGTCAGTCGTTGTGGGGAAGGGGAGGGGTAAAGGACAGCAGCATCTGCACACAGGAAGGGAGAGGAAATCTGGAACCTGGAAACCTTCTGGCCTTGCCGCCGCAGCCAGAGTACTTCTTTTCAAGCAATTGCAGCTTTGTTTACGACGATTTCTGGAACCAGTTTTGGTCGTAGGCAGTTTTGCACAATACCCTTAGTCATTTTTGTTTTGTTTTTGAGACATGGTATCACTATGCATTCCTAGCTTGCCTGGAACTTGCTACGTAGATCAGGAACCTCCAACTCAAGATCTGCCTGTCTCTGCCTCCCTGATGTCAGATTCAAGGCACGTGCCACCCACGTTCACCTCATGTCCTAGTCTATTTTTAAAAGCTGGCCTCCAGAGACGGACAGTGGCACACGCCTGTCATTCCAGCACTTGGGAGGTAGAGGTGTTCAAACCCAGCTTCAAATACATAAGGAGGCTGGAGGGACTACATTAAATAGTCTCATATTCTCAATCTCACCCCCTCCTCTCTCTGTCTCTCTCTGTCTCTCTCTGTCTCCCTCTCTCTCTCTCTCTCTCACACACACACACACACACACACCACGTGTGAAGGGAGCACGAGCGCAAGCTGGCTTCCACCCACCTCCCCAATATTTGTTTTCCTTTTAAGCAAACGGCAAAACCCAAGCCTACACTGTCAGTCAGATTATTTGTAACAGAAAGAGGTGCCTGCCCATCATGTCCCACCTAAGGAATCCTTTTCTTTTCAACCATAAGGAACAGGTGCTTAGTTCAGTTCGTCCACGTCCCTGGGGGCCGGTGGAGGATCGGATCAGTCGGCAGCGGCTGAGATCACTGCCCGGCAGCGCGCTGCAGCGGAAGTCCCGAGCTGTCACCGCGGCCGCCGGCTCTGACCCGCCGGTGGCCCTACTTCTCCAACCCATCCCCCGGGTCCCGGCGGCGGACACCTACCTCCGGCCAGGAAGGAACGCAGCCAGTAGAAGTCTCGGCGCGAGGTCGCGCCTCCGCTCCCCGCCGCCTGCGACACCGCGGGTGCAGGGTCAGCCGCCG